TACACACGCACACAATCTTTATTTAAAAATAATTTTAATCTGAAAAAAAATAATAAAACAATATATATGATATCGAATCTTCTTTTTTTTTATGAATTTTTATAATCAACGTTTCGTAATGTCATAATTATAATTGTTTTTTTAACTGATGGAATTTTACCGTAGTTTTTGATCTTGAAACGATGAACGTTATGAATGCTAGCTAAGCAACTGTGTAGAATGGAATGTTAGATTTACGCGAGATCGTACAAACTATCCCGAAGAAATCCGCTTTAGAAAGTACACCAACTCTTGTGTTTTTTTTTTTTTCGTTGTTCGTTCTCATTGTTCACGTTACCTGACTGCCAGTCATGAACTCGTTTCTTCTTGTACTTTTGTTGCAAACTCGTTCACGGCTAGTCTGGCAGACTGCCGAAGGGGAACGAATGATTTTACAGAGATGACGGTATTAATTAGAAAAAGACATCGTTGACTGTTCAAAAAAAGTATTATCGTTCATTTATGAACGGATATGGTAACGGTTTTCTGAAGCGCCATCAAATTTCTTATTCGTTGGTTAGTTACGTAATTGCTCTCCCCAGAAGCAGGAAGTAATTTAACAGCGAATTGAAAAGTTGATGAAGTTTTTTCTTAAACAAATAAACAAAGTTTGAGGCCTCGATGTTTTGTTATTGCTCAATTACAGTTTAATTTATTAATTAGTGCTTTAAGTACATAGAGACCAATGCATTACAATATGGCAAATGCTTTCACTGTGAAATCAATCGAGCAACAAGTGTTCTTAGAATTCTGATTTACCTTTAACATCTTATGGTGATAAAAAGAACTACTGCAATTTTTTCTTATCCGATTTTTTTTTTTTTACGTCTCCGATAAATTAATAATTTTAGCGATGGCCTATTAATGATTTTAGAATACGTAGTTTTAAGAATTATGAAGTAAATTACTGTAAATTGTTTTCAATAGTGATTATTTCAACCTTCGAGTTTCACAAATTAAATAAGAAACGTGATAATTGTTTTTTGTAATAACAGTTTTTTATCTAATGCAGAAAAAGTGGCAACTATTATTATCATTATTATACATGTAATTGCTCATCATTACTAGAATTCCCCCAGTTTTTATAATATCTATGACATTAAACTGATTAAAGAAAATTTATACTTTTTTATTACTATCATGAAACAGGTTGTTTACATAAAAGATCGTTTGTTTTGTCTTATTTGAAACATCTTTTTTTTTTTTACAGATGTCCCACCACAATCATATGGCACATATGATGAATACATCGAGTGAGCACGCAGCTCACGCAACTCATCAAACTGTGGATCATCAGAGTATGCACGAAAATATGCACAGTTCTGTGGACCATGCTGGCATGGATCATGGAAGTCACCTTACTGCTACCTCAGAAGCTTGTAGCAACATGGGGATGCACGGTATGTCGGTATGTATCATCCAAAGATAAAATTCTGGTGCTGACTATCGTATATAAAAATTTCGTTTGCAGATGGTCTTCCATGGAGGATATTGTGAAAATGTATTATTTGAATCGTGGAAAATCTCGTCGATCGGTGGCCTCATAGGATCGATGATCGGTATCATGATCATGGCCGCACTTTACGAAGGATTGAAGTATTACCGAGAATATTTATTCTGGAAAATGTATAATTCCCTTCAATACAGGAGTGTCACGATGCCGCAAGAGAAAAATGTTGTAGCGGAGGATAACAGAGTTGTACAGTAAGTTTCACTCGTTTAGATATATGGTCGATTATAACTTAGAAACTTATAGTTGTATTAATCGATATTTTATATTTATATTCATAAAAATTGTCATATTTTGATTTCACTTTCTTTTTTTTATTTTTTTAGTATGGTTGGAGAAGTAATTCATAAACAGCCGTAAGTAGGAGTGAATTTCTTGATTTGGTTTTTTTTTCTATTGATTTTGAAATCGCTTGTCTGTGAAAATGCAGTTATATTTCTAAAATTCTATTCTTGGGCAAATACTTAACATAAGTTCGTATTGTGATCTAATGTTTTATCACACTTTAACCAGCACTATTTTCACTATTTTTTGAAATAACCTCCGTGAGGTCCTAACAATACTTATATAATGTAAAAAAATTCAAGTGTTACTTTAATTTATTTATTAGTATGTCAAGGCAAAATTCTTGATATAGATCTCTCTTTGATCCAATTTGCGATCAGAATGCGAGATAATACTATATAATTGTCTTCGGTTATTTAATTGCAATTTCATTTAATCCTATTGTTAATATTGCTTAGCATGATAAATTAATATAATTATGCATATATTTTTTTATATCCAGAAATTAATCCATTTGGTATAAATCTGTGCAGGCCCACAATGTTATCCTGGATGCATACGTTTCAAACGTTTTTACATATTGTGCAAATTGTACTGTCATATTTCCTTATGCTGATCTTCATGACTTATAATGTCTGGTTGTGTTTTGCTGTAGTATTTGGTGCAGCAATTGGCTACTTTTTATTTGGGTGGAAAAAATCTGTTATTGTGGATGTCACAGAACATTGTCATTAGCTTATGTATTTAAAATACATTGTGTTTTTACAACAAAAATGTACATTAATGTACATTGCCGAAAAGTTCATTTTAATTAGAAGAACTTTGAAACAATTACATGTAATATACGTGTGCGGGAAATATAATTATTCTAAATTCGTATTTACAGAAATATATAAAAAAATTTTTTCAATTTAAAGTTATTCCTTTGCATACAGAATGCAATTTTTAATTGTCCATTAAAAAAGATAGCATGGCTTAATTATTATTGAATAAAAAATATTTATAAAATGCAGATTTGTATACAAAAATAATGGAAGGTTAAATCTTTGATCTGAATAACTATAGCGCACTTATTTTGTAAATATTGTTAAAAAGTTTAACTGAGAGAAGTATCGTAAGATGCGTGTACACTTTTTTCCAAATTTTCATATTATCACTTTTAATTTTTTATTGTAATGTATTTTATAAATATTTTGTCTTTGAAATTTGAAAAAAAGTGTACAGTGATGTCTTGAACATACATGATGTATTGTTATAATATAACGTTATCAATAATTGTATTATTACCAAGTAATCTATAGACTACTGTTAATTGTAAAATATAAGAAAATATCACATAAAAAACAAAAAAAAAAGACACTGCCAATATATTATTATTTTTAAAGAAGCACAAAGTTCCTCTACTTTTTTTGTATTTGTTTTCGTTGTAAGATCAATTTTTGAAATTATAAATTTTATAAAGTATAGATGTTAATTAACATCCAAGATTTTAACTCTTGACTGCCATTTGGTAAACAAATTATACAGATATTTTTATAAAACTATTAATAAAACTCATACAGTATCCACAAATGAAAATATATTGAAATAGCATAGAATTGTTCTTGCATATTGAGCGTAAGACGGTTCTACCTTGATATGATTAAATTTCATATGTAGTTTGCACTTGAATTAACAAATTGTTGAATAAGAAGCCAAAACTTTATATATTCCATACATAGCTATACAAAAAGCACCAGCATGCATGTCATTTATAATTAATGCAAGCTTCGTTATTGAAAATAATCCTTAAATTATATAATGTTATATATTGTTTATTTTCTGTATGTAAAGCATTACTAAAGTGTTAGGTAGCTTTGAAGTAAGTTACAGTGCTTTAGAAATGCGTTCATACATTTTATACGTACAAGGTTGTACAAAAAGCTTTATTTGATGTGTTTATAATATTATTTACTTTGTAGGAAAATCTTTAAACACCGACAGCAGGGCATTCCAAGAGCAGCAGAGTATTTTTTTTTTATAGTGTAGATATTTCAAAATCATATATATATATATATATATATATATATAT